TTCCCAGCAATTTTTGATATTAATATAATTAAACATAAAAGGTACTTAAAACTGAAAAAATACGAAAGAAATGCGTTAATTTTGAAGAAAAAGCTTCAAATTTTATTTTCCATTGTCTGGCCTTTCTGTGAAATTTGACACCAATGAGTCATTGTGTTTACAGCTGGATGACCTTGAGAACAGCTTGTGTTGGATTTCCTGGGACATTCTCATAGAAATCTCGGGAGGCGAAGGGTTTAAAGTAGGGTGAATATTAGCTGGCCGTATATTTTTAAATATTTTTTAAAAATTAAAATGTTTATTGCCATTTCCGACCCCCCCCCGACTTAATTAAACGTATATATAATAAAATATATTAATTTAAAAAATTAAAAAATTATTGGAGGTCTTTTTTGATATCAGAAAGTAACTTTAAATAACTTTACCGAAGTAAAATCCGTGCACTACAACTTTAGAACGATTAATTAAATTTGATAAAAAAAAAATCCCATTAAAAAACAATGTTCAGGTGTTCATCCCATGTTTAGGATTTACACCAACAGTTCCAAGATGGATGACAATGTGAGTGCAACTTTTGTAGTATACTCCGATTTAGGATGCGAGCTTCAAAACGCTTGCTTCAGTCCAAGTACACACTGCTCAATAGCATAAGTGGAAACTATTTATATGAGTTTATAAATAGCTGAAGACAAAGTCTGTCCAAATAGGGAATATCATTTATAAACTTCGTGTTCCAGACTAATATTTTTTGAGACTAACTTTTCTTTTTAGGCTAATGGCTGCCAAAAATCTAAAAAGACCTTTTAAAAACAAAAAATATATCGAATTAAAAATACAAAGATTTCTCTAAAAAGAAACTGGTGACATACGGACGTCTTCTGGTTTCCATCCTTACCTTCTTGGGGGTGTTTCGACTTTTTATCTATGAGGAAATGAGTGCTGGAAAATGTAGATTGAAAAAGCTGCCCCTGCTGACGATACTTTATAAACTTTAGTTTGTAGATTTGTAATAGTCCGTTGGCTATTATTATAGATAAATATCTGGAAAATTTGTCTTCAGATATTTAAGTATAATAATAGCCATCGAACGAAAATCTACAAACTGTTTATATGAGTTTACTTCACATTAGACGTAGGAAGGACAGGTAGCTTTACACGGGATTGCGAGGTCTGATAGCCGCTTAAAAATCGTACATCTCATCCATCACATTCTCAGACACTTAGACAACAACATTAGAATAGACTTCCAATCAGTCCCGGTTCATTCGGAGGTTCTCGGCAACAAGACCGTCTTGTCAAACAAGCTGCAAAGTCTTCAGTCTCTAGTACTTTTAGTACATTCCTATCTCGTACATCAACAATCACGTCAAGAAGCAAATATTCATTCTCTGTCAAGACAGCTAGGACCATAACACCACAAGTAAACTCACCTACACTTTTATCCCCAAGGTTGACACTACTGCGATTCTTTGCCACTGGTTACACCTTCACTCAGCTACTTACAAGACACTTCAACTTTAAGCAATACTTGCATAGATTTAACCTTGGAGACAATTCACGATGCGGTTGTGGTATTCGGGAGGACCAAACGTCACATCACTTAGTTTTTTGCTGGAATAGGTACAGTTGCATTAGGGATAGTTTAATAAGAGCTGCTATTCTTGAAGAGTAGAACTGGCCATGTATCCCCGTTTCAACTCATTCACACGCTTACAATGTTTCATCATCTACTCCCATTCTTATTATCCCTTAGTGGGGCTCACTCCGAGGGCAAAGATGGCAATTAGCTTTCCCTTGCTTTGTTTCAACTGTCGATATATAGCTGCCTTTTAATTTTGTATTTTAATTCTTATTTTTTGCCTTATTTTTCAGTCTAAGTTCGGTTATTCGTAGTTGTAAGTTAAATTGGAAACACTTAGCTTGATTTCCAGTTATCTAATGACAGATTAGATTAAATTAGATTAGGATTTGTTAGCTTCAGTCGTCTGGTTAAGTTCGTTTCAGGTTATGGTAGATGAATTTAGTTAGTGTGTAAGTTAACGTTTTAAAAATAAAAAAATTAAAATAAATAAATATCAATATAATAATAAATAAATACTGTAACTAATTGGATGTTGCTTGTTTCTCTCTGTCCATCCATTGGTCTCGTCTAGTTTGTCATTGTGTTCGTTATCATTTCGCCCCTGTATGTCTAGCTGTTAAGTAGTATTAAGATTAGCGATCTCGTTCAGTTTTATTAGTATTAAGTACATATAAGTCTTCCTTCTAACAGCTACTTGGCACTAACTTCTACACTTAGCTATTCGTGGCGGCACTCAATTATTGGTGTTCGCTACACTCGGGTTTTGTTTTAGACTCTTCAGGGACTACAATCTTGTATGCTAAAAACTGCACTTCAACGTCAAACATAGAAGGTATTGTAACCTTCTGTACGTCGTTCAAAGGGATTCTACTTTTCTCTACTGTGTATCACCTTTTCCTTCTTCTCACCCCCTTTCCCTTATAGTCTTTTCTGCCGGCTGTAAAAAGTAAAAAATTTAGCTGAAACGCTTTCTGCCCTATAGTAATATATAAATTAAATCAATTTACTGAAGTGGAATGTAATAAACGGAAGAAAGTGTAGGCAATTAAATAATAATATAAATAAATTTAGTCTATTCACTCAAGTGTCATCGAATGCTAAAAAGTAATTAATTGTAACTTAATAATAATCTTTATTTCATTTCTGACATATATACATACAAGAAAGACATCGATATCTTTCTTGTATATATGTTACAATTTACGATAACAATTTTAAACAGTATTTTTATAATTTCAATTACAGATGTAACTTCTTTGTCCAGTCTTAGAGCTTCTATTCTTCTATGAAATGGACCTTGCAGACAAGTTAAAGGTAGGCAATTTTTAAACACATTCATCTAGAAATTCTTTTCATACGTTTTAATTTTTCATTATGCATCTCTAGCCCTTCATACGCTGTGAAGGGACAGAGAATAGACAAAGACTCATCTACGTATGTATAGTCAAAAAAGAAATATAATTTCTATAAATGCCATAATTGTCCTGGCAATTTTTATTTTTTATCTACAAACAATTGTTTACTTGAAACGAAAAACTTCGATCTAAATCTATGCACAAATTAAGCTGCGTGAATAAAAAATACTAAGAGAACAATAGTTATTAAATACTTCGTATTTAAATCAAAAACACGTCATTAGATCTCTATTGTGATCTTTAGCCGAATACTTCATATAATACTAGAATTATGTATGATCTGTATTTATATTTATTTTATTCCATTCTGTTCTGTGATAACCATCTTCATGATAATTGAAAACAGGTTCCGAGAAATGTAAACATTACACTTATAATCCGTAAGAATTGTAGCCTTTGAATAAGGCATGTTCTAATATTGATAGAAAACATAACTATAAAGCGGAAGCTTTATAAAATGATTTAAATGTTTTCTTCGCAAAAGTCACAAAATGCTACGAAATTTCATTATCAATTGACAATAACATTNTTAAATGTTAAAAAAAGCAAAAAAGTAGTTTGAAAATATTTAAATCTTATTTTTTAAATAAAAAGTTTTCAATTACTGAAAATACAATAATTTGATAGAAAGGAGAACTTTCAAGTAATAAATCTACAGATATAAGTGTGGCCGGTTACATACCCCACTATACCTCGTACTAGACTTAGCGGAGTGCGCAACTTGACACTCAATACTACCCTGTAATATGATTCTTTCGGTGAGCTATATCTCGCGAAGAATTACGTATAGAGGTATCGTTCCTTTGATCTTTCGCTCCTATTTGCAGGGACTACAGCTCTGTTTAAATCCGTACAGTGCCATTCACATCTGCAATCTTACCCTTTTAAACTCTAATTATTATTCTAAAAATTAAGTTTTATTCTTAATTGACACCTTCCTTCTTTCTGACTCTTATTATTTCCTATATCCCATAACAACGTACCTACGCCACTTTTCCTTCATAAAATCAAGAAACTCTTCTTGCTGATGTCTACTTGAATCTCTCGAAGATTGCGAAAATTATTCAACATTGCTTTAATTTAAATTCTTAGTTTCAAAGATATCAGATACTCTTTGTATTTCCTTATCTCTATCGATTTTAGTTCAATTAGTTATGTTAATTACATATAAAAAGGTACAGATATTTTGTACTTTATCATGATATATAACAACAATGTTTATAAAACTTTTCAATAAAACAAATAATTCTTGTTTATTCAATAGTTCCTACAATATACACTTCATTTTTCTTATAGGGCAAGACTTGAGCAATCTTGCCCTTAATGTAGCAGATAGCATATAGAAGCCACAATAAAACTAAGATTACTATAGAATTAAAATGTTCAATATATAAGAATTGAATTTACTTTAATTATGAATGGCCGAAATTGTGCATAGTGCAATCTCATCTTCTGAAAGCCCACCAGTGGCCAAGCAAATAAAACCATCGTGTAATGGCAGATGGACGTGGGTTCGCGCCCAACCAATGGGATATAGTAAATTTTTAGGGGTTTTTAACGTGTCTAATATTTAAATATGGCTCACTTTTCCACAGAAAATCCTTTCGAGAGGCATTCCTTTCGCAGATCCTACGTGTCTTGCGTTGCTATATCCCATCAAACATATAACGTAGTCCTCCGAATATAGTTATTTATATCCAATAAATATTGTCAAGTAGATAAGTAGTGGCATATCCGAACACACTTTATTGGAATCTGTGTGCATATAGCTTAGTTATTTTTACTTATTAACTAGTATTAAAGAATTATCATTTAAATGTTTTAAGATTCAAACTTTTATTACTTAAATCTAAGACAGTAACTGAGATTTTTCCTAAAGTTGAAATCGAAATTAATTTTTCGCGATTGAAAAAGAAGCCACAATTCCATTGTAGAATTGAATTTAATACCAACAGTGATATGTAACTTTATTTTATAAGACTACAAATGCATCATACTGAAAAACAATTACGACATCATTTCAAGCTCTGCATTTATTGGTTGCTCTATCCCAAACTTTTGCCCAGTTAGGAAGTCCCTCGCAATAACATGCCAGTTTCCAAAAGTAGCAGTAACCCGACTTTCCCTTCAGAACTGTAACGCATTCCGTTTCACAATATTTATTATTGATTACGCAAGAGATTTTACATCCTTTATGATCCATCGGATATCCATCCTTACTCTGAACTCCTGTGTAAAATAAAAGAAACATTAGTTATGGTTTAGTTATGATCTAGCTTTCACCCTTCTTAATATTTCGTTCAGCGTTAAGACAAGAACTTATAATAATGTCTTCGAATCTCGAATTTCAAACTATTCTTTTTTCTTGCAGCATTTTTCTATAATCTTAAATTGCATTATGTCTCCATATTAAGAGATTTTACATGTTTTTCAATCAGATTTTTTCTACTGTCAATCACTAATCACCTTATTATCAAATAAATTATTTTCTTAATTCTTACATTCTGTGTAAATTTGCACTAATCATTCAAGGAAGAATAATTCACTGATTAATTTTCAATTATAAAATCAATGTGAAAAACTAATATGTAAATAATTCTCACCTATTATCATCAGAGAAGCGACGATCAAGATTAAAAATTTCATTTTTGTCTTCAATTCTCTGTTCAAATTTCGACAAAAGATGAACAATTTGTATTGAAATTCTATCGATTTTGTTCATATTTATACCGAGCCAACAAAGTGCTCTCTTCTTTCATTGGTCAATTTTCACATATGTTCCGTGTAATTCGCGATGTTTTATGAGCAGCTGTTAAATCTTACGAACTTCCCGGTTTTTTTTTTTTGTACAACTAATATCTATATCAGAAAGGAAACAATTGTTAATTTTTAAATTCAGAAACATAATAATTATTTAGTGTATTCACAAAACTTGTATTTTATTGTCAATACGTTTATAAGAAACTCACTAACATTAGAATGCGTAGTGTGG